CATGCTTAGGAATTGAGGATTTTACTCTTACGGAAAGGATATTAGCATTTAACCCTTAAGTTTTTGGCAAAAGTTTAAAAACATTTGCTCATCAAAATAGCTAATGTTCCACTCATAATGACTGCGACGGCTAGCTATCAACGTATTTTTGGGACACACGCAAAATTTACGAAACTGAGGCGTCCCTGTAGTTGATGTGGGACAATGTGTTAGACCCATTCCATTGACTCTGTCATAAAGCCTATTCCATTGACTCTTTCACCCTTTATGGGGTTGGCGCCGCAACCGTAATGCATTATTGATTTATTGTTGATTTTTTTTTTGGTGATTTTTCCATGAAATTACCTCATTTTCCAACATATATATATTTAAAAATTAAAATAAATTCTTTTCATCGTCAAATGTTTAACGTTTTAACTTTTTATGCCCCTAACTAGTTTCGATCTTTATCTGAACTTCAATTTTTAGTAGCATCTAAAATGGAAACATACAAATATTTCTGAATTTCAACTTACTGATAAAAGAGAAATGGGATTACATTTTTGTTCTTAAATCATGAACTTTAGAGTCTTGGCGACAATAAGAAAAAAAAAAACAAATTCTTTTAGAGAAAAAAGTGCAAATTGTATTAAAATAAACAAAATCAAGTTACATATAATTGCAGAATACTTATATTATGGCACGTATAACAATAGCAGAAGCATATATTGTATAGTAGTAGGTATATGCTTAAATTATGTCCATGACAACATAAATAATTAAATATAAAGAATCATTTACATCTAAAGTTACATTAACAAATACTATAGAGACACAATTAAACAGAATTACTAAATAGAAAAAAAAATCCTTGATTTCAGGCCTTGATTACTTTTTTTTTCTTGGGTAAATTCAAACCTTGAATTTGATCAAAGAGTTTAGAAACATTTGTCCATCTTAAGAACTGTAGGCTTTTTTAAAAAAAATTTAGTTGTTTTTAACAACTTATAACTGATAGCTAATATATAATTATTAATAGTGTTTAAATTATATATATATATATATTATATAAGGTAATATTTATTTATCAAGAAATTTCTTTTTTTATTATTATTTTTTTAATTTTAGATTGCAATATCTGATATTTGACTGTTAAAAGTTCTAAGAATGAGAATTATGGATCAGGGATTCCACCCATAAAGAACGGTAGAGTGGTAAAATAAATTGCTTAATGTTAAAAAAGTTAATCATAATTACTGCCTGTTATGCTTTAACATATGTATCATTTTCTTTTCCCAAACTTGAATAGACAAGGTCAATGAACAAGTCTATCTCATTGCCAACTATCTAATTAAATGAGAATGATAATTTCCTTTTACTAAAAATAAAAAATTTTAAATTTGAGTTATATGTCATGCGAGTGGAAATAAATTAAAAAATAGGAAAAAACTACTTTCTATTGTACAACTTAAAAAAAAAAAAAAAGTAATGTATAATACTTTAAAAAAATATATATGTACTCCCAAGTACTTCAATAAATATTATTAAGTGAGATTTTGTTGATTAGGTTCGGTTGTTCGGATCAGTACCTAATAAAATTAATTTATTTTAAATAATTAGATTAAGATAAGGTGTGCCATTAAAATTATTATAAAAACTGACTATAAAACATATGAAAGGTAAATAAAAAAAAATACACAAATTAGTTGAGGTATTAGGAAATTTCTCTGTAAAATATATAGACGTAGGACAATGAGGTAGACTTGTTGCCCTTGACCGTGCCGTTCTTCATGGGGTTAAGGCACACCGTCCCACTTTTCCTTTTATTAATTGGCTTAATTGTAACTTAATCCTTAAGGAAGGCTGGCTTTAGGCCAGCTTCTTATCTCCTAAATAAATTATGGCATTTAAAATATTAGGAATTAATATGTCTTGATTTTCATTTTTCTTTAATTATATTAACTTGGAATAAGATAAAAAAAGGCAAAAATTATAACATCTGTTACTTTTACATAAGGAGCAAAGAAAATATATATTTCCCCTTGAGTATTAGTAATTTTGCTATATCTATCATAATATATGATAAACGCTCTGTGTCTTTAAGCTTTGTTAATTTCATCTTCATTGCATTCATCTCTTCAGATTTAGCTGGAATTGCATTGGGACCTTACTCTTCTTCTTCCCTTGTGTCCGTGGTGGCACATGGTGTGAGAGAAAAATAGTTATAACAGAAAAAGCAGAAACTGCATAGCCAACAACAAAACCTTTAAAGGGCTTCCACAAAGTCCCCGGTTATTAGCCTAGCTGTCACTTGGAATTTCAATACTATTGTTCATAAACCTAGGCAGTTCCTCATATAATAGATTATTGGCAACACTAAAGACTTTGATCCGAGAAAGCTGGCCAATTTCTGGTGGAATTTGACCTGTTAGTTGATTGCCGTTAAGTTTAATAATATTCAAAAAACTACAGTTGCCTAAACCCTTTCGGATTTCACCTGAGAATTTGTTAGAAGAGAGATCAGGTGTAGTTATAAGGGAGCATATGTGATATTTCATTTTGAATTGGTCCAGTAAGCTCATTGTCCGAGAAGTCTAACCCGGTTAAGCTGAAGCTTCACTTATTCCTTGAGGAAACTGGCCCCTGAGACCCATGTCGGAGAAACGAATGTTCATCACCTTGTTTTCATCCGGATGCCAGCAATCAACCCCTGTAAACCTGCAGATGGAGCCCTCTGTTTTGTTGCTGAAGTCCCACATAGCATTGAGGTAACCCGTAACCGTATGGGACTTCCAGTGAGTCTTTAATAGATTTCAAGCAATTGATATCAGAGACACGGCCGAGACTTACAGGGCTCAGCAATGACCAAATCAAGGCTTGGAGTAATACCAAGATGGAAGGCATTTGCAAGTATGAATTATAAAGGCATAGGAAAAATCACAAAAGTCTGATACAAGTGAGCAATGTATCTCAATATCTTAGCATATATGGAAACAATCATAGTGAATTAACTAAAGTCAAAGAATAATACAGGGAGCAACGGTCAGATTATACAACATTAATATTCCTCAATGTTAGGCATAACTATAGGGTCTGCATTCACTTTTGTAAATATAAATTCACATATGTATAGTGTATTTTTCTCATCCTAAATGCAAGTTCAATATTCTTCAAATTATATTTTGGTATTCTTTATGGTATCAAAGCAGGTTGCTCCCTGCATCTGAATATTTAAATTTGTTTCTTCTTCTTGCAAATAATCCTCTTACCATTTCAAATCTAGTCCATCAAAGAATCAAACCCATGGCTAAGAACAAAAACCTGCTTACAATTCAAAGCTTCCACTAGATGGCACTCCTGGTTTCCGTGAAGTTGTCAGGTATGAATTTTCTTTTGTGGAAATCATAGGTTTTTCCACTGATCCAGAGCTCTCAACTTATGCATCATTTGGAAGAAGGGGCTTTAGCAATGACTATTATTAAAGATGGAAAGGAAGTGCTGAATCCAGACTATGAGCTCTTGGTGAATAATGATGGGCTACTCACTAGTTGGTTACTTGGAACTATGAATGAAGAAGCGTTGAGCCTTGTTGTTGGTTGTGACTCAGCCATTCAAATCTAGAAGTGCTTAGAGGAACACTATTTGGCATCAACCAAGGAACAAGAATTACATCTCAAGGGTCAATTAGCAGTCAAGCGAGGAGAAGAAGAATCTCTTGAGAGTTTCATAAGGAAATTCAAAGGAATATGTGATAGCTTGGCTGCCATCTGCAAACCAATAGATGACTTTGACAAAGTGTTTCAACTCTCCAGAGTTGTAGGAACACGATATCAGCCCCATAATCTTGTTGTTTTGTCAAAAGCCCCATATCTCATTTTCAATCAATATATTACTGACTTACAGAACAATGAAAGAGATCTCCAAACAGCTGACCAAGAAAACAAGGAAAAACTCCAACACCAATCTATGCTCAAGCCTTTATTACACATAGGGGTAGAGATTAGTAGGGCAAAGGTTATGGTGGCAAGCATTTCAACTCTAGGGGTAAGGGCTTTGTTTAGGCTGGAAACTACAACCACAGTTGGCCAAGCAATAACAACAACAAAAATTCTATGACCAATAATAATCCTATACAGCCATACAACATAAATTTAAAAATGCAATTAAGCAAGGTGAGAATCAATGCCAAATCTATGGTATTGCAGGTCATACAGCTTTGAAGTGCTGGTACAGATTCAACCATGCATACCAGAGTGAAGAACTGTCACAAGCTCTTGCAACAATAAACCTGATGAAAGATAAGGATCCAAATGTTTGTGTTGACACTGGGTCTTTAGACCACATGACTTCAGACAAAGGTAAACTCTACACTAAGAGACCTTATTATGGAAAACAAAAGATTTTCACAGGTGATGGTGCACCCTTGCAAATTTCACATATTGGATCTACTTCAATTCTTTCATTAAAATTTAATGATGTTTTAGTAGTTACTGATCTCAAGAAAAATTTACTTTTAGTTAGTAAGTTTATTGATGAAAATCCATGTATTTTTGAATTCTCATATAATGGTTTTGTGGTTAAGGACCAAGCAACTCAAGCGGTGCTACCCAAAGGAACTAGAAAAAGGCAACTTTATGCATTAGACGGAGAGGAAAAACATGCTCTTGCTGCCATTAGAAATAAGGCTATAGACTCTATTTGGTATCAAAGACTAGGATATCCTAATTCAAGAGTCCTAAAAAATCTAGCATCTAAGAATAACATTACTGTGTCAACTTGGACTAAGTCTCCAACTTTGTGCACAAGTTGTCAAATGGGGAAGAGTTGTAAGTTTTTTTTGTCTAAGAATAATGAAATAACAAATTCACCATTTCAAAAAATTCATTGTGATTTGTGGGGTCCTTCTCCGATTCAATCTTTTAATCACTTCTCTTATTATGTAATTTTTGTGCATGATTATGGTAGGTTTACATGGTTCTATCCTTTACATAAAAAATCTGATTTTCTTAGTGCTTTTATGAAAATTCAAAAGATGGTTACAAATTAGTTTGATAAGAACATTAAGGTGTTTCAATGTGATGGTGGAGGTGAGTTTTCTAGCGTTACTTTTATTAAGTATCTAGCAGAGTGTGGCATCACACAACAAGTATGCTATCCTGGTACTCGGAGTAGAATGGTGTTGCTGAAAGAAAGCATCGACACATTGTTGAGACAAGTTTGACTATGCTAATTCATGCTAACATGCCACCATGCTATTGGGTTGATAGCTTTTCTACTGCTGTTTTCTTATTAACAGAATGCCTACTCCTTTATTGAATAGTAAGACTCCCTTTTATCTACTCTATGGTAAGGTTCCTGATTATTCTATGACTAAAGTATTTGGATGTTGTTGTTTTCCTTATCTTAGAAATTATGTTGCACACAAACTTGAACCGAGGTCTTTAACTTGTGTTTTCATTAGGTATAGCCCTATACATAAGGGATATAAATGCTTGCACCCTCCTACCCAACGCATCTACATATCCAGACATGTAATTTTTTATGAATATTTTATGCCATATGCTGATCTTATAAAGCTTTCAAAGAATGTCTATACAGATAGTGAACTTTGCAAATATCCTGATGGAGATGAATGGATCCACGCTTCCTTACATCTACAACCCTCTCGGCAATTAGATGATAGCATGCTCACAAATCCACGAGTTCCCACTATCATTGTTGAGAAGGAGAATAGTTCTTGCACCAATAGCTTAATAGGTAGTGTAGGAGTGATTACAACAACAACAGGCACCCAAGATCAAAAGCAAAACAACAATGTGACCCTTGTAGACAATAGTCAACTACACGATATTCAAGAAGAGTCTGGACACTCTTAATCACTTGTTGCACCTAATTTGGAATCGACTATATCTACTCAAGAACAATCTCTTGAGGCATCCAGTGCAACTTCTTCAGAGGCGACAGATAGAAATCAACAAATTGCAAAGCTTGTCATATCTACTTCAAGTTCAACTCATGTCAGAGTAGACCCACCACCTCATAATGCCACTTCAATCTCTCATCATCCTATGATGACTAGAACTCGAACAGGAACCCATACAAGACATGTAGAAACTATTTTTCCCAAGCACGCTAACATTATGACTAATAATAAATCTTTCCTGAATACTGCAGGTCTTGACACTCAAGAACCAAAATCAATCAAAAAGGCATTGGAGAGTCCACAATGGGTAAAGGCTATGTAAGAAGAATTGGATGCTTTGCACAAGAATGAAATGTGGAAATTGGTTCCACCACCTTCACCATCAACAAACAATGTCGGCTTCAAACGAGTATTTAAAACTGAACTCCACCCAGATGGTAGCCTAAACAGATTCAAGGCTTGCCTAGTAGTTAAAGGATACTCTCAGATGCCAAGAGTAGACTACGATGAGACTTTCAGTCCTGTTCTCAAATCAACCACACTTCGCTTGGTTATTGCATTGGCAACCATACTTGCTTGGCCTTTCAAACAATTAGCTGTGAACGATGAATTTCTTCATGGAAAACTTAAAGAAATAGTCTATATGACACAACCACCAGGCTTCGAAGACCCAAAGCATCCTAATTATGTTTGTCAACTTAACCAATCCATCTATGGCCTCAAACAAGCACCAAGGGCATGGTTTGATACATTCACCTTGCATCTTTTGAAATTGGGTTTTAAGTGTAGTCCATCTGACTCTTCTCTGTTTGTGCTTCATACTAGTCAAGGTACTGCTCTATTACTCCTTTATGTTGATGATATTGTTCTTACTGCAAGTTCAGGAATCTTGTTGCAAAAAAAATTGATCATCTTATGAGCACGTTTGCACTCAAAGATCTTGGAACACTCAATTATTTCCTTAGTATCGAGGTCATCAAGTTTAATGGGAGAATTTTCTTATCTCAAGCAAAGTATGCAACTGATCTCCTCACTCGAACTGCCATGCTTGAAGCCTCCATTATATCAACACCATTGGCTGTCAAGGAAAACACCACTTCAAGGGATACAAAGCTTATTGATGCAAAGGAATACAGGAAAATTGTTGATGCTCTGCAATATCTAACTATCACTCGGGTTGACATTTGTCATGCCATTAACAAAGTATGTCAATTTATGTAGAGTCCCACTCTTGCTCATTTACATAAGGTTAAGCAAATTTTAAGGTATATTAACCGTACACTACACTATGGCCTTCGGTTTTATTCTAGCAGTCCTTTGTCCTTAACAAGCTTTTGCGATGCTGGTTGGGCAAGTTGTACAACTACAAGAAGGAGTACAACCGATTTTTGTATTTTCCTTGGAGAAAATTGCATCTCTTGGTCCTCCAAAATGCAATCGACTATTGCATGCTCCATTGTTGAAGCAGAGTACTGTGCACTCGCTTTTGCTACAGCTGAAATAGTCTAGATTACCTATCTGCTACGAGATTCCTTACCATCACCTTCTCAATTGTTTTCAGATAACATTAGTGCTTTGAATATGTCTATTAATCCAGTTTTTCATGCTTGAACCAAACACATTGAACTAGATTACCATTTCGTTCAGGAGAAAGTGGTGATTGGTACCTTGGTGACAAGATATATCTCTAGCATTAACCAACTTGTAGATATACTTACAAAGCCAAAGCCTTACGCACAGTTTAAGTTGTTAAGATTCAAACTGGGTGTGGTTGCCTCACCCCACTACAGTATGAGGGGGAGTATAAAGGCAAAGGAAAAATCACAAAAGTTTGACACAAGTGAGAAAGGTATCTCAATGTCTCAGCATATATGGAAACAATTATAGTGAATCAGCTGAAATCAAAGAATGATACAGGGAGCAACGGTCAAATTATACAACATTAATATTCCTCAATGTTAGGCATAACTATAGGATCTGCATTCACTTTTGTAAATATAAATTCACATATGTACAGTGTATTTTTCTCATCCTGAATACAAGTTTAGTATTCTTCAAATTATATTCTGGTATTCTTTATGAATGTATGGTAGACAAAGAAATAGAGATGGAACTTAGGAGCATCTAGGGAATGAAAGATGCATACAATCACAAGGAAAATCAGATTGATTCTTGAAGTTCCTTAGGATAGGCAAGAAATTTATGTGAAGGGCAAAGACGCCAAAATGAAACCAGATGGATATGAGGAACAGTGTCAAAGTGAGAAAATCTTTTACTGAAAAAATTAATTAAAGAAACAATGTGATTTAAATAAAATAAAAGATATTTCACTTATAAATAATTGATTTTAGATTAGATGTAAATTTTATATTAAAACTTAAATGTTTAATTTTTCATTTTTATAGATAAATCTAAATCAATCCTGCAATGAGATTCACATTACAAGAATTGAAATTAACACCATGTTACATTCTCACAAAAAAAAAAAAAAAAAAAAACATAAATCCCAGTCAATGAGTAGGAAAGACTAGTATCAAAATTTCTTCGTTATCAACGGATTTTAGGAAGCTACCCTATGATAGATGTGGGAAAATGAGTTAGACTTCGCCTTATCCGTTGACTCTGCCTTAATTTATGGGTTAACTCTAAAATTGGATTCTAAATAATTCAGGGTGGAATTGGGTTGGCTCTTATGAGGGGAGAAGTTCTTCTTGTGTTTATCTCTTTATTTATAAGATTTAAATTTGAAATTTTATTTAAAAAGAACTAAATTCATTCCATTCAAATCAATAAATTATTAGTTTTACACATTAAAAGATAAGTTATAAAATAAAAAAATCTTACTTTATTCAAATATCTCCACACGCATCTTAAAGTTTTAACTCAACTTTGTTTTTTCTGATGTAGGACGGTAGGAGTAACATCTAAAATGGAAACTTGGAAATATTTCTTAACTTCAGCTGACTAAAAATAAAAGAAATGGTACTATCTTTTTTCTTAAGTCATGAACTTAGAGTCTTGGCTTGACAAAAAGAAAAACAGTCTCCCAAACAATTATCGGTTACACAGAGAGCAAAGATAATCAATATTTTCCCTTTGAGTACAGGTAATATTGCCCAATAATAATAGGTGTGGGACAATGAAGTAGACTTTTTGTCCATTGACTCTGCCGTTCTTTATAGGGTTGAATATATTCCCTCATCCCTTATTGTTGATTTTGATTTTCCTTTTTCGTGTTGTTTCAATAAAATTTACTCATTTTCCGACACATCTGTTTCTGTAGACTGTCAAATGTTTACCTATTTAAATGAGCAATATCTTTATTCTCTTACATGCCCCTAAGTTCCGTATCTTTATTTCTCCATTGCAAATGGCTTCTAATTTGGCAAGGCTTAGCACGGTGTTTCTCCACGCTTTGATTTGGTCATTGCTGGCCGCTTCAAGTGTTGGCCTTGCCTCCGACATCAATTGCTTGGAATCTATCAAAGACCCCTTGGGTGATCCATACGGTTATCTTAAAGCTTCATGGAACTTCAACAACAATACAGAGGGCTTCATCTGCTGGTTTAAAGGGGTAGAATGCTGGCATCCGGATGAAAACAAAGTGCTGAGCACTCAACTATCCAACATGAGTCTCAAGGGGCAGTTTCCACGAGGAGTAAGTGATTGCTCTAGCTTAGTGGTGCTAGACCTTTCAAAAAAATGAGCTTTCTGGACCAATTCCATCCGATATATCAAGTATCCTCCGTTATTTAACTTCACTTAAACTCTCTTCCAACAAATTCTCAGGTGAAATCCCGAAGAGTTTAGCCAATATTAGTTTTCTGAATGTTCTCAATCTTGACCATAATCAACTAACAGGTCATATCCCACCAGAAATTGGCCTGCTTCCTCGACTCAGGAAATTTACTGTTGCCTATAATCTATTATACGGTCCAGTGCCTAATTTTTCATATAATATTTCAAGGGATAGCTTCGCTTATAATCAGGGGCTTTGTGGAAAACCTTTAGACCCCTGTCATAATATCAAAAATCCATCTCTTTTTGGTTTGGTGGTTTCTGTTGTTTCAGTTATCGTTGTTTTCATCTTCTGTTATGTGGTGTGGACACAAAGGAAGAAGAGGAGTAACAAAAGAAAGCAAACTCAACAGATGGAGGAAATGCCACATGTGGAGCTTTTACATGAAGAAAGCAAAGGGGTATACTCTTTTACTCTAGCAGATAACTCACTTCAGTTTTGATGTTCCAGCATGATTTTAGTATTAATATTGGAATTTGAAACTTAACAGTCTTCTATCTTGGGGAAACTGGTTTCAAGACTGAATTACACAGAAATAAGTGAAGCAACAAAAAATTTTGACAAGGAAAATGTCATTGGAATTGGAAGGATGGGGACAACCTGCAAGGCAGTGTTGCCCAACGGCTGGATCCTTGCAGTTAAGAGATTACATGATACTTGCTTATTTGATGAGCATTTCATAACAGAATTGAAGACATTGGGTAGATTGAGGCATGAGAACCTGTTGCCCTCCTGGGATTCTGCATACAGTCAAAGGAGAGGATTCTGGTTTACAAAGACATGTCAAAAGGAAGTCTTTATGATTGGCTCCATCCTGAGGAAGGTGAGGCAAGAATCATAGAGTGGCCCTTAAGGGTCAAAATTGCAACTGGGGTAGCAAGAGGCTTGGTTTGGCTCCATCACGAGTGTAATTTGTGTGTTGCCCATTGTAACATTAGCTCCAAGTGCATCTTACTTGATGAGAATTTCAAGCCAAGGTTATCCAACTTTAGAGTGGCAATGCTTTTGAAACCAAATGGCACTAATTCAACTAAAGCTCCTCGGCTAATAGTGAGTTTTTGGAGTCAAGCTTTATCAGGGAGGATATCTATTTCTTTGGAATTTTGCTTCTTGAGCTTATCACCGGAGAGAATCCTAGAGGCATGACAACATCCCCAAACACTGGCAATGAAACCCTAAAGGAATGGGTTGCACATCTCTCCGCAAGCTCCAACTATTATAGCATTGTCGATAAATCTCTGATGGGGCAAGGATTTGATCAAGAAATCTTTCAGCTTCTTAGAGTTGCATTAGAGTGTGTTCAGCCATCTCCAGATCAAAGGCCAACAATGCCTCAATTGTACTAAACACTAGGTGCTGTTGGTAAGAGACATGGCCTCTCAACTGGCTCTGAGGTAGTGGCAGACACTGGAGAAGCTTCTACACTCAGAATAAATGAAGGCAATGAGGATGAAATCAGAGAGCTTTAAAATATCTATCTTAGCATGTTTGATGTGACTATAAGAAAGATGAATGCAATGAAGATGTAATTGTGGAGGTTTAACAAAACAGAACTTCTGTAGTATATGAATCTATGATTGATAGGGCATTATTACAAGTATTCATAGCGTTTTCCTTGCAGTGTAAAAGTAGCAGATGCAATCAAGTCTCTAAGAATCTATTTTTAGAACAAAAATATAATCAAAATTTCTGAATTGCAATCCTATTAAACAAAATTACAATCAGACCAAAAAAAAAAAAAAAAAAAAAGGAAAAGAGGCCTTTTAGTTTAACAACTTATCCTTTCAAAAGAACTACATTATAATTGGCAAATCCAACAGCAA